TTTCACATGAGGAAATACTGTGTTTATATGCATGTGTACAGAGAGTAGCCTATTTGAACTTTTGCAAAGTTAGTTAACCACCAGACATGTATAACCCTGTGTATTCACTTAATATTGAATGCTATGAGATTACATAGATCAAAAGGTTGACAGTTGCCATCTGTGATGGCCAACTCCCTATCTGAAAGCAGAAGAAAAAAAAAAAATGACAAGGACATATCACTGTAATCATTAAGTAACCACAACTCATCAACATCCAAAATGATTTAAATTTGTTTCTACATTTAATGTGCGACCCCTCCTCGGGTTTCCGAGGTGGTATCTCTACAGAAGTAGATTGTCCAGTTTTCCGAGGAGTGGCTGGTGGGTTTGAACTGACAGCCTTCTGGTTAGCAGTCACATACCTTAGGCACCATGCCACCCGAGCTCCTTTTTTTGGTTTTTGGTTTTGGATCTCAATGATATAGTGCTCCTATAGCAGAAATATGACAAGTGGGTGCCTCTAGCAAACAAATTTATTTTCTCAGTTTAGGAGGCTGGAAGTCTGGGTGCTGACTCTAGGGGAAGTCTTTCTTTCTATGTCTGCTTGGAGGAAGGTCCTTGCTCTTCTGAGCTTCTGTTCCTGGGCAATCAAATGTGTCTTCCTCCATCTCTGCCAGCTAGCTTTCACTTTATCTCTTTTCTATCTCAAAGAGATCGACTCAAAACATACACTATAGGAATCCTACCTTATTAACATGCCAAAGACAACCCATTCCCAAATGGGATTATAACCACAGACATAGAAGTTAGGATTTACTACACATATTTTTAGGGGATACAGATCAATCCGTAACATTCTACACTTTGGCTCCCCAAAATTTACATCCATCCCACATACCAAACACATTTACCCCCATAACACCACCCCCAAAGTCTTAAATCAACTCCAAATGCAAAATTTCATCTGGATCATCTAAATCAAATGTGGGTGAGACTTTAGGCATATTCCATCCTGGGGCAAAATTCCTCATCACCTGTGAAATCTAGACTACAAGTTACCTGCTTCCAAAGTATAATGGTGGGGCAGGCAGAGGGCAGACATCTGTATTGCAAATGGGAGAGACTGGAAAGAAGGGATAACAAGCACCAAGCAAGTCCAAAACCCAACAGAACAAATTACGTTAGCTCAGAAAAATAGTTTCTTAATTGTGTAATCAAATTTATTTAGTGTGGAAAGTTTAAAAAATTAGACCAGCTCAAAAATAATCCTTGTAGATTATGCTCACACACACACACACACACACACACACAAATCCTTGTAAATCTCACCACTAAACATAATCAGTCTTTAATAATTTGGAATATGTCATTCAAGTTTCAGTCTCTTTCTAACTCTCTTTTGTTCTCTCTTAAGTGAGACCAACACCTGATGTTATTTTGCAACCTCCTTTTTTTCACCTTATTATACATGATTGTTAATTAATTAATTTGTTAATTAACTTTCCATGGCTCCATTGCCTTCTAAAAGGCCAAGTACTTTTCAGGACACTAAATTTTCTTCTACTACATTAGTTGTTGATGCATTTTATGGATATACTATAGTTTATTGAGCCCTATTTTGGGACATTAACATTGTTATTTTTCACTATCATGAATAACATTTTAAGGATTGTATTCTTTTAGCCAAATAGCTTTGTATACGTATGAACATTTAAGTAAGGAAACCTTCCTACATGTAGAATTGCTGAGCTATGAGATATTTCTCCTGCTTTTAAGAATTGTGGTATGTATTGGCAAAGTGCTCTCCGTAAAGGTTGTTCTAATTTGCATTCCCATAAGAAACCTGCTAGAGAATTTCCCTGAGTCCATTCCAGCACTGGACATTTAAAAATCCTTGTCAGTTCTATAGGCTGAAATGTTATCTATTGTGTCAATTTGCAATAATGGTAATTTTTTCATATATTTATTTCTTTTGTACAAGTAATATTCTCTGTAGTAGATTTTCAGGGAAAGTTCAGGATTTGTGATTTGTATTAAGATCAACCTATACATGTACTTCAATACATCTTTACTTTTATTCCTTATGAATCCATTCTTCCATTTTTTGCTTTCTGAGTAATTCAGATTCCCAGGGAGCATTGCATGTGTAGGAGCAAGCTGACAGCCATACCTGAAAAGTGGGTATATGATAAACACTCATTATTTCCATGTTTCTTTTTTGATCTTGATCTTGCTTAGTTATTGTTGGGTCAGTGCTATAGCTGCTGAGGTTTCATAGGTCCCAAGGGCTTAAACAAAATTGTCCAGACATGCTCATCTTTTCCCGTCTCTTGAGTTTTGTTTTCCCATGTGTTGGCTTCATTCTTAAATAGACTGTTTCAGTATGACAGAAAAATGGTCACTAGCAACTCACAGCTCACATGTTACCCAGAGACAGGGAAGAAGAAAGAACGTCATTCCCAATGGCTCCAGAAAAAAGACACTTTGAGGATTCTCATTGGCTCATCTTGTGCTCATTCTCAAGGGAAATAATCTGATTAGAAAGCCTGGATCAAGGGCTCACCTCTGTGGAGGGCCTAGTGATTAACCTCCCCAGGGGAGGGGAGAGGAGGGTAGAAATGGGGAGAGGAAAGACAGAACAGGGGAGAGATGGCAGGAGGGAGTAGGAAGGAGCGTCACTTCTCAAAGGGAAAGATGCTGGCAGATTAAATTTATTCACAATAATATGACCACCGAGAAAAAGAGGTGGGGGGAGAAAGAGAGAGAAACAGAAAGAGAGAGAGAGAGAGCGAAAGAGAGATGGTCTTGAAATAGAATCCTGTGATATATATATATATATATATATATATATATATATATATGTAGTCTTTAACTCTTTTTTTTTTAATTGTGATTGGGTGAAAGTTTACAGAGCAAATTCACTTTCCATACAGCAGCTCACATACGTTTTGTCTCATGACATTGACTGCAATTTACCACAATGCAACAGCTCCCCTCCCACTTCCTCCCCATAGTCACCTCTTCCTTGTATTCTTCCCTCCCATGCACTCCTGCCCCCTGAGCTGTATCCCTGTGCATAAACAGCCCTTCTTTTCTCCCATGATTATATCTCCAAAAAGTGTATCAACCTAATGTTCAGCTCATATACCTGTCTTTTGTTTGGCTGGAAGTCACAGGAGTGGGTTCAATTCCAGACCTGAAGGGCAGCCAGGGGCCATAGTCTCAGTGGTTTCATCAGGCTCTATCAGACCAGGAAACCCAGTCCCCCTTTTTTTTTTTCAATGATTTTGAGTTTTGTTCCGCATTGTTCTCCCACTCTATCCAGGATCTCCTACATAGATCCCCCTCTGAGTGGTTGACAGTGGTAGCTGAGCACCATCTAGTTCTCCTGGTCTCATTGTCATATAGGCTGAGGATCACATGGTGTACCAGTCACTTGGGCTAATTGTTTCCATGAATCTTTGGTTTTCTTCATTCTTCTTTGCTCGGATGAGGAGAGACCCATCATTGAATCTAGATGGCTGCTTGCAAGCTTTTAAGATTCCAGTCACTACCTGCCAAAGTAGGATGTGGAACAATGTTTTTGTGTAGTATGTTATGCTGATTGAGCTTGATGTACCCTGCAACTATGGTCCTGAGCCCATAGGTCCAGCAACCTGGGTAGCTGTCTGTGACCAAGAAGTGACTACAACCTTGTCCCTTGTCAGCTGTACTATATACCTGGGAATTCTTACAGAACATACTAATACACTTGTAGAAACATTGTCTGCCAACCCTAGAGCACAAAATTGTTTTAAAAGGGTAGTGTTATGTGTTATTTATTTATTTTGTGACACCTAAGTGATACGTTCTGTTGCAGATCCACTAGATGTTCCAACCAATGTAACCTGTGTCATTTATGAATACACAGGCAACGTATGTATGATATGTTGTTATATGTGTAATATGTGGTAGAGGAAGACTACCACAGTAGTGAAGAAACTCTGAAGAGCCATTTCACAGAAGCCAAAAGGCAGAGAGGTTTCAAAGAAGTGACTAAAATATCACGTTGCAGAGGTCAAGCTCAGTGAAGACTGAAAAGAGGCCACAGGATGTGTTGAATAGAAAGCCATTAATAGAATACAATAGAAGACCTTGGTAATAGTGGTTTCATGGGATGGTAGGGGCAGAATATTGACTATTTTGGGTTCAAGAGTTAATGGAAGATGAAGAAATAGGCAAGGATAATGGCCTGTTAAAAAGTTTGACTGCTAAGAAAAGGAGAAAGATACAGTGGTAGGTAGTCTGGAGAGGAGACAGAATTTGGTATCTGAGGTGCTTTTTTTTCCAGGGTGTGTGTGTGTGCTGAGGAACTTGATCATATCAATATCATTAAAGAAGTAAAATATATAGTGAAGTGTACAAAGGAGAGAAGAAATAATTTCATAGCAAAATATTTTACAAGGTGAGGTGATAAGGATGGAAGAAGGAATGGTAAGGTGCCAATTAGCCTGGTTTCCCAAATACATTTTTGTTGTTAGTTGCCATCAGTTGGGTAGGATTCATAGCAACCTTATGTATAACATTATATAGCACATACCTTATGTGTAATTTGTAACGTTGCCTGGTCCTGCACCATCTTCTTGATCACTGCTATGTTCAAGTCCATTGTTGCAGTTATTGTATATTTTGTGTGCCTTCATCTTCTAGCACTCTATCAGACAATATTCTATTGTGATACATGGGATATTCATTGGCTGATTTTCAGAAATAGATGGCCAGTCTCTTAGTCCGGAAGCTCTGCTGAAACTTGTCCACCATGGGTAATGCTGCTGGTATTTGAAATACTGGTAGCATAGCTTCTAAGACACCACAGTATGACAAACTGCCAGATGGCTATTGATGTTGTTGTTATATGCCATCAAGTCAGACCCAAATATACTGATAGTTTATCAATGAAATACTTTGTAAAGAGCTATGCTTTTTGTTTTTATCCATTTATTTATTTTGTGACACCTAAGTGATACGTTCTGTTGCAGATCCACCAGATGTTCCAACCAATGTAACCTGTGTCATTTATGAATACACAGGCAACATGACTTGTACCTGGAATATGGGGAAGCTCACCCACCTAGACACAAAATACACAGTGCATGTGAAAAGGTAGGTTTCTTTCAGCAGTTTGACATAAGCAATTGTACTTTAGCACAGTTAGTGTTCCATATCCAGCATGGATCCAAGAAATCAGCTTCAGATCATGAAATGTGTACCCTAATTATCTTCAATTTCGTAATTATAGTCAGTGAAGATAGCAATGTCCTTTTGAGTCACTAATGTTTTCACTCTGTGGTACAATACATTCTATATTATTTCCACCCATATCATTGATAGAGTCCTTGGGTGATGCAAACAGTTAAGTGCCCAACTACTAATCAAAAGATTGGCAGTTCCAACCTACCCTGGGGCACCTCAGAAGAAATGCCTGGCTATATACTTCTGAAAAGTCACAATCTTGAAAACCCTATGGAGTTGAGTTCTACTCTGACATACGGAGTTGCCATGGGTCCGAGTCAACTGGACAGCAACCGATTTGGCTTTTGGGTCTATCATTGGTAGGTAACTGGTAGTCAGGGGCCTAAGGGCTATACAGCATAACATAGTCTTAAAAGGACTTTAGTTTAAATCCCAGCTCTATCCTCCTTCTAGCATTTAGGAAACTTAATCTATACAAGTTGCCTTTTTTTTTTTTTTTTAATTTAAATAGGGCCTAAAGATAGACTTTAGTGCACAGGTTTGCTCTAATTATGTCAGTGTAATTTGATTTATAAAGTATGTATCACAGTGCCAGGTTCATAGTCAGCACTAATTTAATGAAAGCTATTAATTGCTATAATGCCCCCAAGTTTTACATTTAGTGTCTATGTAGCCCAATCAACTATCCTCGGATGTAGAACTTTTAGTTTTAATACCAGGAAAGTCTTAGACAAACTAGGACAAAGTTGGTCACCCTATTCATGTCCAAGTTTCTTGTTTGGTTTAGTTCATTATTATTATTATTATTATTTAAAACGCCTTTGTAGTCTATTTTAAGCACATTTTTTTTTTCCTGTTGGTCATTCCCAATTTTTTCACAAACTACTTTAAATAATTCATTTTGGGGGGGCTCTTACTATAACATAGAAATGGATGTTTTTTGGCAAATTCAAAGCATGAGCTCCTACAAAGCACAGGCAAATTGGAAAGGGAAACTTCGAGTCATTTTATAACGAACTAAAAAAGTACACTCATGAGTTGAAAAAAGTTAAAAAGAAAGTCAGTTTCTCCAACTATCAAAGATCTTTTCCCCTATGAAAGTGTTGATTTATAATAATGAATTTTGTGGTTGAGGTCTTCCAGATCCTGGATTATTAGGGTATTTTCCACATTGGCTGATAGGTAGAGATCAGTATTTGCAAGGTTTCATTTCCAACTCATGTGGTTCTCTTTTCCTGTAAAATCACATACATAGAAAGGTGATTTACCTTAGTTCACCCACTCGTTTCACCGGTGGTAGTGAGGTGTCATTCTTTCAGGGCAGCAAAGTGACTATCCAGGACTTCCTTCTGGTGTGTAGTTGAGGTTGTAGAGTAGAGGGGTTGTGTTTTTGTGGATTCAACAATTCCTCTTTTTTTCCTCCAACACCTTTGTGATGACTCCACCAGACAGAGCCACGTGGCCATTCACATACCCTTATTTACTTCTCTGTAGTTTGTTGTATACATTGCTTGTGATAGAAAATAAAGTGAACCTCTGATAATAAGCATCCACCAACTGTGGTCCACCTCCCCACAACAACTTGATACACATATGCTTGTTCTTTATTTTGGAAACACTGATAGTGCCTAGCACAGTACCTTCTATGTAGTGTAGCAAGGACTGTGAAGATGGCACAGGACTGGGCAGTGTTTCGTTCTGTTGAACACAAGGTCTCTATGAGTCAGACAGAGCTGACTCTACAACACCCAAAACAAAACAGCTTCCTAAAATGTGAGAAAATAAATTTCTGTTTGTTAAAGCCACTCATTTGTGGTAATAATTATTACTGTTGATTGAAAATGAATGAATGATGACTCTTCATTCTGTTCTGTTCAAGTCAATTTACAAATGATTTATTTAGCATTTAGTATCTTCTAGGCAGAATCCCCAGGTGGTGCAAATGGTTAACATACCCAGCTGCTAACCAAAAGGTTGGAGTTTCTAGTCCATCCAGAGGTGACTTGGAAGAAAGGAAATCAGCCATTGGAAACCCTGTGGAGCACAGTTCTACCCTGACAATGCATGTGGTCACCATGAGTTGGAGTCAACCTGATGGATAGTGGTTAACTGGCATCATGTTAGATTCTAGAAATGGTGGCATAGTGCCTACAGCATTTGACTGCTAACCAGAAGGCTGGAGGTTCAACCCACCAGCCACTCCTTGGAAGGAAGGTTGGGCAATCTACTTCCATAGGGATACCACCTCAGAAACCCAAGGAGGGGTTGCTATGAGTTGGATCAACAGCAGTGAGTTTGAGTGAGTGGAGGA